ATAATATGTATGTATTTAAAAATATATAAGTATGTTTATCAGCAGTCTGGTTACCATAGCACAGGCACTGCCTAGTTTGGAATCAGACGGCCGTGTGTGAGATATGTGAGGTATATTATATATTACCACCCCGTCACTAAAAAAAACAATGAGTATCAAATAAATTACTATGAAATAAAAACATCTCTATACCAACACTTCGTGAAATTTTATTCTGAATAGTGTATATGTATTGTATATATGTATAGATGTATGTTTATATGTTTATGTTTTTATTATAATTATAGCATTAATAGTATGTATAAATTATATTGACTGACTAAATTATATTGACTGCCTAGATAGCGAGGTGGTAGCGTATGCGACTGCTATGATCTATGATGCTATTTTTTGATCTGCAAATATTTGTTTCAGAGTTTGGGTGTTTTCGATGTATTTACAAAAAAAAAGTATTTAAGTATTCTATCACTTAATCTAGCTTTCGTACAAGCTATGCTTAGTTTGAAACTAGATGGCGTTGTGTGTCAGATGTCCCAAATGTAATTATATTTACTCATATATATGTATACCTATATATCTATGTAGAATAACATCTTGCAACTGACTACAATATTAAATAATGTATCTCATCTGCTACAATTATACACCTCCCACACACACATCTCTGCAACGCCCAAAGGTTGACTGGAAGAAAATGCCTATGGCATTAAGTCCGCCTTATGTAATGTATTTGCAGATTATTTTGCAATTTTTTTTCTGTACTGAATGTAGGTACGACTCTCTTTATCAGAGTTTCATTTATAAAGTGTTTTTTTTTTGTATATCCACTTAAGGCTTTGTAACATCCAGTGCTGGAACCAAGTTAGCGTGTTTAAATAAATTATAAATGGGTTTTAGTAACGCGTTTAATTTGTGTCGACCTTCAAGTGATGTAGAGATATGATGCAGTAGGTGCAAAAATAAAAGATTAAATTTAACATACTTGAAGTCCAGAGGTATACACAATAAATATGCATTATCTGCATAATTAAAAAAAAACTGACACACAGCGTCATCTAGTTTCAAACTAAGCAGAGCTTGTACTATAAAAACTGGATTGACTGATATTACATTGTTTTTGTAAATACATAGAAAATACCCAAACTTCGAAACAAATATTTGCAGATTATACAAACATTTGGTCCAACCAGGGAATCAAACCCGAGACCTCAGAACAGCGGTTGCATATGATACAACTGCACCACCGAGGTAGTTTATATAACATAAAAATACTCAGTCAAGTACTAGCGTTGTATGTGTTCTGCCAATTAATTCCGATACCCACCCCCCCGATGGCACAGGTGGGCCTATGGTGTTATATGGCTCGACCGTAGTGATATCACGGCTTCAGTTCGATCACACTAATAAACCATTGTTTAATAATTGTTTTCGAAACTTTTCACTGAGTCAGCGAGGTGACTGAAATGCCCCCACCTGTCTTTTGGGCGAGCACTTAAATGTCGGCAACGCACTTGTGTCTTTGGAGTTAGTCACTCACCTTTCGATTCTGGTTGTTGGCTATGAAAATTCATTAGTAATCAATATGTCATTGAGAGTGATAATTTACCTTAACTTTCAAGAAAATTAAGATTATTTGCTTAAAGAGGAGATAGTATCCCGGTATCTATCAGGCGGGCACGATCAGTAAGTACTTTACGAATGTGTTATATAGGTATGTGTATGTATATTTATATGAATGTATGTATGTGTATGAATATGTGTTTGTGTATATGTATATTACACCACAAACTACATGTTACTATAGAGCATAGTATGAGATCCCAGACTGCAATAAGGCCGCCTATTGTACTACTGCTTTTATTTTATGTTTATATTTTGCATTGTATGTTTCCTATCTATGGTGTGCAATAAAGAGTACCTTTCTATCTCTTAAAATACTCGAAGTACATCTCTATTTTTCTTACTCTACTCCTTAGACTACTAGAATAGTTTTAGTAGTAGTAATCTTAATGCAAAAATAATGACTTAGTATCTAGTAAGTAATGAAATAGCATCCTACCAGACAAACAGTCTGGGTTTAGGAGGGGTCGTGGAACTACAACGGTTTTGTGTGATGTAGTGGGTAGCATATTGGAAGCTAAAGACTGTGGAGGAGGAACAGTACTTGCACTACTGGACTATTCTAGAGCTTTAGATGCCATTGATTCATCCCTACTGCTGTCCAAGTAAGGATATTATGGGTTTGAATCACAACCACTAAATTGCAGATACCACATTTATGCAGATGACACTCAAGTGTATCTGTCCTTTAAACCAAAGAAAACCTGGTCGGCAGTCAATATAATTAATGAAGAACTAGAAAGAGTGGTTCAGTGGTCTAGAGACCACTCCTTAGTTTTAAATTCAACAAAATCGAAATTTGTGATTTTGTGTAGTAAGCGGCAAGTCCAGACTACAGCGGATGCTGACCTAACAATTACCACAAATGGGAAAAAATTGCCTGGTGTTGTTGAAGCTCATAATTTAGGAAACTAATGGACTCTGGGTTACCATTAAAAACACATGTTAACAATGTTGTTAAAAAATGTTTTTGTAGACTAAAAATTCTGTACAACATCCGAGACTACCTTAACATTCCATTAAGGAAACAACTAGTAGACAATCTTGTATTATCTAGATTTAACTACTGTGGGATAGTGTACGGTCCATGCGTACTGGCTAGAACAAACAATTTTATACAAAGAGTTCAAAATGCCTGCGCTCGTTACTGTCCTTCCTTCCTTCCATCCAATTCCAAGAAGCATCTGGCTCCATGGAATCCAGAAGGATTCCAGATGCTTCTTCCTTTTGGAAGAAGCATCTGGCTAGCTTAATATATGGAGTTATTAATAAGCAACCCCTACATACTTGTATGAAAAAATTGACTGGAAACATAACCACTTCTCTTACTCCATCAGACTCACAGCCAGAGCACTGAGTATTCCGGGACATAGGACAGCTGCATTTCGTGGCAGTTTTAAGTATGCGGCAATACATCATCATCATCACATCAACAGCCTTTAATAGTCCACTGCTGGACATAGGCCACTCCTTAGAAAGGAGGTTTTGACCAACTATACCACGCTAACCAGACGGGTTGGTATAGGATTTGTGTCAAGTTTTCCTTCTTTTTGCAGTGTTGGTGTCCTGCGTTGTTTTGCTTAATCGGCTCTTACGACACCCACGGGATGAATTCGGGTAGTGACATTCCGTATTTTTAATCCGTCACTACAAACAGTCTGGGTTTAGGAGGGGTCGTGGAACTACAACGGCTTTGTGTGATGTAGTGGGTAGCATATTGGAAGCTAAAGACTGTGGAGGAGGAACAGTACTTGCACTACTGGACTATTCTAGAGCTTTTGATGCCATTGATTCATCCCTACTGCTGTCCAAATTAGGATATTATGGGTTTGAATCACAACCACTAAATTGCAGATACCACATTTATGCAGATGACACTCAAGTGTATCTGTCCTTTAAACCAAAGAAAACCAGGTCGGCAGTCAATATAATTAATGAAGAACTAGAAAGAGTGGTTCAGTGGTCTAGAGACCACTCCTTAGTTTTAAATTCAACAAAATCGAAATTTGTGATTTTGTGTAGTGAGCGGCAAGTCCAGACTATAGCGGATGCTGACCCAACAATTACCACAAATGGGAAAAAATTGCCTGGTGTTGTTGAAGCTCATAATTTAGGAAACTAATGGACTCTGGGTTACCATTAAAAGCACATGTTAACAATGTTGTTAAAAAATGTTTTTGTAGACTAAAAATTCTGTACAACATCCGAGACTACCTTAACATTCCATTAAGGAAACAACTAGTAGACAATCTTGTATTATCTAGATTTAACTACTGTGGGATAGTGTACGGTCCATGCGTACTGGCTAGAACAAACAATTTTATACAAAGAGTTCAAAATGCCTGCGCTCGTTACTGTCCTTCCTTCCTTCCATCCAATTCCAAGAAGCATCTGGCTCCATGGAATCCAGAAGGATTCCAGATGCTTCTTCCTTTTGGAAGAAGCATCTGGCTAGCTTAATATATGGAGTTATTAATAAGCAACCCCTACATACTTGTATGAAAAAATTGACTGGAAACATAACCACTTCTCTTACTCCATCAGACTCACAGCCAGAGCACTGAGTATTCCGGGACATAGGACAGCTGCATTTCGTGGCAGTTTTAAGTATGCGGCAATACATCATCATCATCACATCAACAGCCTTTAATAGTCCACTGCTGGACATAGGCCACTCCTTAGAAAGGAGGTTTTGACCAACTATACCACGCTGGCCAGACGGGTTGGTATAGGATTTGTGTCAAGTTTTCCTTCTTTTTGCAGTGTTGGTGTCCTGCGTTGTTTTGCTTAATCGGCTCTTACGACACCCACGGGATGAATTCGGGTAGTGACATTCCGTATTTTTAATCCGTCACTACACGGACCGTAGTATGCGGCGTGTGCGGCAACACGATGCTGGAATTCTATACCGCCGTCAATTGAAAACCTACCTTCTTGATCAAGAAAAACAATAAATACACTTACCTTAAAGGTTATGGCTATGTACACAGGTTGATAAGTATTAGTTGATAAGTAATAGTTATTATAACTAACATTTCATAGACGCGTGGTTGGATACGTGGCACATTGACGTGTCATGTCAATTCTGTCAGATATGAAAGATTGACATATTGAAAAATGTTGCCTTATTAACGTGTTTTTCAAACCTTACTTGATTTTTAGTTTCTTTGTGTTTGTTGTTATTTAACTATTTTTATATGCTGTGTTTTATGAAATAAATAATGTTCTATTCTATTCTATAAATAATAAATGGTTAAAATTCGAACATAAGAAAAGACAGTATAATATTAGACTAAGATTATGCTCCCAATATTTCTAAAGTCAAAGGCGTTTTGTCCATTTATTTTTGTTAATTGGTTAAATGTATTACATGCTTACAGGGCCGATTTAACCAATAATCCTGGATTCCAGTCCTCGCTGAGTATTGCATCGAAAGACGTCACTGATGATAAACCTTATAATCCATTCGAACATCGAAATTTAGAGCATCCAAATTCGTAAGTACATATTACAATTTACTTGAAAGGTAATTTCTTGATTAATCCCCGACGCAGAAGGAGGGTGTTTTATTGTTAGTAGTCCATCAGTTAATTTAAATTCTACTTATTGAACTGTGAGTCATTGTATCTGTGTATATTTGTGTAAATGTTTCTGTCTGTAACATTATATAACTGAAAAACAATAAAAGAGTAAAAAAATCCTTACTTAAATTGATACTTTTGTTGTAAAATCTTAAAGTCACCGATCGCCTACCCCGCCCAACTTAATCTAGCACTTATCCCTTGAGTTAAGCACTTGATCCATGGGCAGCGATAGACATTTAAAATCAAATATTGTATCTGTTCGTTTGCCTCCTGTATCCTAAAAAAATACTTTTTTCCAACCACTGTAAAAGTTCAATGACTGCACTAAATACTACATTGTTTTTCATTCATTGCTAAACATAGCTTTAACATTAATGTGAATAGCCAATTTATTGTTAGGTCATTGAATCTAAAATAATTAAATCACAATATTCTCATGTTATGTTATTTTTGTTTTGTTAGATCAGAGTGTTTAGCATACAGTGCAATGACTTGGTTATGTATTGTTATTTCAAAGTGTGAAATACTTGTTTTGTTATTAGTAAGTTTGTATTCATTTGTGAATGTTATGTTAAAATGTGTTATTCACTGATGTTAGTTTGTTTGAACTTAAATGTTTTTTTTAAAGTCTCTTGGTTTTAATTTATCATCTTATTTGTTTGCAGAACTGTAGGTTCTGTAGTACATCTGTTGAAAGCATGCCTTGGTACCGGCATTTTGGCGATGCCCTCGGCCTTCAAGAACGCTGGACTTTTGATGGGTATCATTGGGACGTTGATAGCTGGATTTTTATGCACTCACACAGTGGCCATGCTGGTAAGTAATTATTACTTAGTAGTATACTAATTATAAGTAAACATTTCACGTATACACACCATTTCTAATTTACTTTTATCAAGTTAAAACTCATACAATCCTAAGTTAGGAAAAAACATTAAATATTGTTACGTGTTTGGGTTCGTCGATTCGGAATAATAAGCCTTCTGACGACTAAGGAGACTTTATTATTACTACACCTAAAAACGTTCACACAATACTCATTAATTACTTATATTCACTTCAAACGCTTCGATGTTTATCGCACTGTAACTCGAATTGAACTAACTCCAACAAAGACGTGTTCGCATTTATAATACTTGTAAAGGAACATTCGAGCAATTTCCAATCCAAGTCATTTTTAATCTTATGAGTATTGAAATAGAACTTATTGTTCGTTGTGAATCTGCATTATTATTAAACGGTTCCCGGAATTGTGCGGTTAATCGAACTTTCTCGAAGTTTCGTGACAATATGATTACAAACTAAAAAATAGACGAAAAGTTATTTGCGATCTAAACCATTTTGCCGTCAAATTGACGGCGTTGACTCTTCTAGTGTTAATGCCCAGCATATTCAATACGCAATACGTAAAACATTTAATCTAAGAGTATACATCTATGCACATACACATCCGATACGCTATCTATTCAATATGAAGCTATAGGCAACAAAAAAATTATGGGATGGACAGGATACAAACCTTAGGGGTTTGAGAATGTGTACAAATTAGTTTTTTTGTATTTTATTTGATAAATAAATACATACAAAAAAGATAGGAGTCCTTTTTTTTCTTTACTGTTTGTAAAGTGTTTTAAATATTTTAAATTAAATTCGTCTTACCTTATTCCACATTCATTAGTGATATATATTTGTGGCATGTATTATAAACTGTTATGTTTTATTCCTTTTTGAAGTCAATTAAAATATGATTCGATACTCGTATCTGAAAGTGCCCAGTTCATCAACTTAAAATAATTATAGTTGGGAAAATCGCTGTATATTAAAATTAAAAGTACATAAGGAACTAAGGCAACATTAGGAAAGGGGATCATGTTTATACAAATGGATTGCAGAGTGTTAGCAACCAGTTCGAGCAGCCGAAAAGTCAGTAATTTAAATAATCATCGAAGAATATATAAAAATTGCCGTACGACAATATACAGGACAAAAATATTCATAAGATACCTTGTTACAGGTTGCAGCATCTCAGAAAATATGTGTCATCATGAAAAAACCTGCCCTGAGTTACGCCGAAACATGTGGTGCGGTGTGCACTTATGGACCGAAAAGAATTCAATCATGGGGTCCGACTGTAACGTAAGTAAATATTCATATTATCTAATGATATATTTTTAAATTCAGAATTGATTTCGGTCCAATTCAGTATGTGCTGTAACGCCTTGATAATTTGGGCTACGTATCTATTATACCTCCAAGTTTAGACCCTTTTTTTTTCCGTGCGGAAATCCCCTAGGATACCACCTGTCGGTGGCATGTCGGACTCGAACCGACTAAAACCGCACGCCGTCTCGGGTACTAATAGCCGGGGAACCAGGTATACCCTAGAAAGGAAGTCCCTTGTGCCCCGACATACCTCGGGTCATCTACAGACGAGTAGACGACCCCCCCGTGTGGGAACTCCATGTTCCCTGTGCTCCCTGGAAGCGAGCGCGCTCGCCGCCACCCCGGCCTGCTTCTGCTAGGGTGACAGATGGTCTCACCTGTCACCTCCAGGCCTGCGCTTATGGAGGACGGAGGTCGTTTTGCGACCTCCGGCGCCTGAGTCGCCTGCGGTACCTGGCCCGTTCCCGGGCCTGGCGGGCCGGGAGAGTCCTAAACCTCTCCCGGTCCCGCTCCGCTGTCTCCTTCGCGAAATGTCACCACCCCTATTCATCCCGTGGGTGTCGTAAGAGCCGACTAAGGGAGCAGACTACGCAGGACAACAGCACTGCAAAGAGAAGGAAAACTTGACACAAACCCTATACCAACCCGTCTGGTCAGCGTGGTATAGTAGGCCAAAACATCCTTTCTAAGGAGAGGCCTATGTCTAGCAGTGGACTATTATAGGCTGTTGATGATGAATGCCGAAAAGACCGAGTATTTTACACCTCTCTGCCTACTCCGTTGGTGATATACGAGTCTGTGTGTATGTGTAGCAATAATTACAAAATATTAACTATTAATCTTAGTTTATCTGTAAATAATTAAATTAATAAACACAATTTTCAGGGTCATAATGGACTACTCATTAGTAGTGACATACTTCAGCGTCTTGTGTGTGTACGTGGTTTTCATTGGATCTTCACTAAAAGAGGTGAGATAAAGACTATTATACCTATTTTTTTTAGAGTCTAGTATAAAATAGTATACAGTTTGTTAATATGCAGATGTCGGCTGTTGCAGACAGAACACCAACAACACAATGTTGTCAATCCCTGTTAAAATTATGCAATTTGACTAAGACAACTGAATTTTTAGACATTCTTTACTAATATAATAGGTAGCATGTAGGTCTAGATATTGTTTGTATATATACAAACAATATAGTATAGTAACCTATTGTTGAAATTGTTGGTGTTTACGTACACCGACGTGGTCGGGGCGTGATCAGGGTGTTGTCGTTGTGCTTATTCTAAGACTGTTAACCATGATTGGCTTGGGCATGGCTTGCTTTTCACTGTCATCCACACGCTGATTCCAAGACCATTTTGTCTTTCAAGTATTATTTATTATTCAAGTATTGTTATTAATTTTAAGTACTCGTTGTAAAGAGACAAATAAAGTTTTTCTTATTGTTATTCTTATTATTTAGTACTTGCAACATTAGCATAATTATTACTTATAGTGTAAACTTTGTGTAAGTATTGTTATGCTATATAGCGATAAACTCCTTATAATGTAAAAATCAGCAAAATTATGTTGGTACACTTTTAAAACCCATACATTGATAAACTCCTAAAGGTGTGTCTGTGTTGATCTGTGATCGGTATCATTGTAAAGGTTATCAGCTTATAAAAGTGTACCCTAAATCTTTTAAGAATAGAAACTTTTAATGTGGTAAACAGCTACTTCATTACATTTCACGGATGCTAGACTAGACTGCACGAATGGCGTAGTGGACCGCTTACCGGTCACTTCGCCGCTTCCATTCTGGGTACGATCCCACTGGGCCAACACTGTGTGATCCGCTAATTGTTTTTCCTAGTGCAGGAGTTGTCTTTTTAAAAAGGAGAAGATTAAGACACTTAGATTGTACTGATCGTAGGAAGAGATGGTGAAAACCTAACATCATAAATATGTTATAATTAATGGTATATCGCTGTCACTGGTTATGGTGACAGCCTGAGACCAAAACTAGGTCAAAAAAATCTAATATTTACTTTCTCTTTAGGTTATGGACGTGTATGCACCAGGTTCGCTGTCAATCCAAGCTTACTGCGCCCTAACTTTGGTACCTCTAGTCCTAATCTGTCAAATTAGGAACCTGAAGTATTTAGTGCCATTCTCAGGATGTGCGAATGTGATGCTTTTAGTTGTTATCTGCATAACATCATACTATGTGTTCTCGGACCTTCCTTCAATTGAAGACAGGGATTTAGTCGCTGGTATTGGGACCTGGCCGTTGTTTTTAAGGTTAGTGTTAATTACATAACACATCAAAATTACATTACAAATGACTAGTTAGCTGTTAGAGTAATTTTACATTCTTCTGCCTTGCTGCTTGTTTATGAAACTGTTAAACAGAACTCTGAATGAACGAAACAAAGACGAAACAAAGACGAAACACCTAAGGGTTTTTATTTTCATTAACTCCTATATATTTTAATTGCATTTGACATTTTATCTCTAGCTTAACACACAGAGTTTATGTTATTTGTGCTTTTGTGCTTCCATTGAATCCATATAGCAATAAAATGTTTAAATTTAATATTGCTTAGCCGCTGATTTTATCCACAGAAGTAATTGTACAGCAAAAAATAACCTGATATCTTTCCTTAGGCATTGTCCCTTAACAGTGTCAACTTTTGAAACGCTAGTACTACTGAGAACTTTTGATTGTTCCGTTAAATATTCTTCGTTTCAATATCGAAATCTCAATGATAATAAATACGCATTATAATCATTTCATAAATAATTATCGCAATTTCAATCCAGGTCAGTGAACAATTTGAAGCATATTTATTTATTGTAATTAATTATGAATATTTAGATCTTGTCAAGTTTGCGAAGCATTTCCTTCATGCCTCTGTTTACATTATGTTATATGTATGTAAATTCATTATCACATTTTCCTTGCAAAACATGTCTTTATTAGAATTAGGACCGAATATATCTAATACAATCACGTAAATATTATGAATACGAAAATTCGTTTTCTGATTGAGATTTTATTCTGTTTGTTAATACGATTCGCGTTGGATTTAATTTTAATACACTCAATATGTGTGGATAAAGATAGAATACGAGATGACAGTTTTCCTTGACACTACAGCTAATCTAAATATAGCTTTACATCTTGTAAGTCTTTAATTTCAATAAAAATAATCAAATAGAGAAATGCTCGTTTCAGTTTTATGAGAGTTGTGCACAATTAAGTCCAGAAAAAGTTTAAAGTTTAAAATCTGCTTGAAACGTCGTTTTCAATTTGAAAATTTATCTTCATTGTGGAATGATTACAATGTTCACTCTCTTTCATACAGACACTTTCGTTCGATAAGGTCGTGAAAGTTTAATCTCTTAAGAAACACTCAAATTGATAACTTCGGACCGAACGCAAGGTTTGTGCTCTTCCCAACTTGAGATTGAGTGATACATTCCCTGCCACCACCACCTTCTGTGTATTTTTTTAAGTATCATATCTCAGAGTCTTATGAAAAGAATTTTCCTGTTCTTTGACGGTCACATTTACTCACTTGCCTAATCTATTTTTTCAGAGGTTTCCTTCCTTTTACCCATAATGAGCAACCGTTTCTTACTATTTACTATGCTAACTTCCTTTCTCGACTTTCTAAGGAGCTTTTGGCTTTTTTCTTCTACTACTATGCAGTTCTTAATATAGGGAATATCTTTGTAACATTGTTTCCTTTGTTTTTTAATCTTTGTTCCAATATTTTGTTCTTGATGTCTTCCAATTATTCATTCAAATCCACGTAGACGTAATAATATGTTCATAATATTTCACGCACGGCCGTCTGATCCCAAACTAGGCAGAGCCTGTACTATGGTAATCAGACTGCTGATAAACATACTTATATATTTCTTACACACAGAACAAATGACCGTGCGCATTACACAATTATCTGTCCTGGGTGGGAATCGAACCCACGACCTCTGACATAGCATTCAAGGTCACTAACCACTAGACCAACAGGCCAGTCGAATACAATACAACAATTAACTTTTTTATCACAGTATAATTATGTATTTGATTTATCTTACAGTACGGTTGTTTTTGCAATGGAAGGTATCGGCTTGGTGATGCCAGTTGAAAACGAAATGAAAAATCCTAAAAGGTTCCTCGGGTGTCCTGGAGTATTAAACACAGCCATGATAATTGTTATTGGCCTCTTCGTTGTTATGGGATTTTTCGGCTACCTACAGTTTGGTGATGAAGCTAAAGGATCAGTGACGTTGAACCTCCCCGAGGATGCTATGTAAGTAAATCTGAAAATCTAAAATTGAAATCTTAAAAATCATAAAAGTAAATCTGAAAATATTAATAATTACCTCACAATGTCGTTGTCAATACCTCGCTGTCTGATCCCAAATTATATTGATATTATACTAAATTTTAATGATATATATAGTTTATATACTGATACTAGGTAGTACACTATGGTAACCAGATTAACCCGATAAACATACTTATTTACAAATTTATAAAAACATAAATATCATGGATAAATTATACATAGAAATAGAACAAATGATCGTGTTCATCACACAAATATTTGTCCTGATTAGGAATCGAACTTACGACCTCCGCATCGGCAGTCAGTGCCGCTAAATAAATGGTTTTTAAAAAATTATCACCTACTTAAATGTGTCACGATTGATTAATATAAAATATTAAATAATAATTATCAAACTTATCCACTTGCCTTCATAGTTGCCTGCGAACCTTGGTATGTTAATAGGTGGTAGTTTGACTCGTGATGTGGATGTGGATTCCGTCGTCACAACCTACTAAGGTGTACTAACATTCACGGTTTTCTTTCTCAGCTGGTAGCTCATAGAACGACTCCATCAGTAAGGTTCTACAATCTAAATAAAGATTTATATTACCATGATGAATTGTAAAAAACTTTATTTGTCTTAATTTTCCGCTCTTGGGTGTGTTATTTATTTTTTCGAAATAGAATAAGACCAAACGGAAACTCCATTTTCGAAATAAAGAATGTTTTCCATTTAGGTTCACATATTTGTAACAAAATTCCAACTTTGCAAACATAAAACAAAGACAATAGAACGAGAACTCCTTTTTAAAGTCGGTTAAAAATTCCTTTAAGAGTTATTAGGGGATAGCTAGGTATCTTTTTGAAAGAAAATATTCTTATTATGGTTATAAAATATCTTCTTTCTTACTCCGAGCCCTTTTCCCAAACTAGATTGGGGTCGGCTTTAAGTCTATTAGTATACGTCTGAACTTCGACTTTTATGCGGAGCGATTGCTATCAGACTTCCACAACCCAAGTACTAGGCGATATCGAAGTTCTGTAGAAATACCCGTAAAGATTGTTCGTATGGCACCCGGACCGACGAGGGCTTCACGTGCTCTCCGGATCTCAATGTGTTACTGATATCGAATTCTCTAATTAAACCAAATTTAAACTATTTAATAGAAAAATGGGGCACAGCAGCCTAAAAAAACCTTTCCATTATATAAATAATACAGAACAAGCTTAAAAAAAATATATAAAAATACCTAAATTATGAATATTAGACAAACCTATCATTACTACAACTGCATACTAATACGTAAAATTTTAAATAAAACTATACACACTCAAATACACTTTAATAAAAAATCTCAATCTCAAAAAATTAAATTAAGAAATTCTAATGATATACAATTTTTAAAAACCCGTCCCAACTTTGGTAAAAAAAAATATCATGTACGGCGGTGCAAAAACTTACAATAACCTGCCTAAAAATATAAATAAAGCAAAAACCGTGCAAACATTTAAAGAAATACTAAAGAGTTATCTCTCGAATACGATGAAAACATTATAGACATCCAGGTAAGCTCGATCCGTGTATTTATCCGTACAGTTACAAAGTGTTCACACCTGCTCTGCCCGGCAGTGGTTGAGGTTGCCCTGAAGAATCCTTGCGTGTGGTGGGAATGTTAGGGTTCCATTGTCCCTCCCGTCGAGCTACCACTCGACACTGGCTGTCCCGATTGGGCAAAGGCGGGGCGAGGTTGAACCTACCCTTCAATTGTGTAGTTTGTAATTTGCATTGGTGTCACGCCGCTCGGCAAATGACTGTATCTCATTCAAAATGTGTTCTCACGTAAGTGAATATGTAATTCTTTATGAGAATAAAGTTTCTTAAACCCGAAACTTTAATTAAAATATTCAATATCACTAAGTATAAAGGGTCAGCTTCGGTTATATTTTAGTTTATGTAAACTATTGAAATGAGTTGAGGTATTATCGATAGTGCGGTTAGATTACTGACCGACACGTATTCAGTGAGGGTACTGTTTGAATTATAAGCCAACATTGTGATTAACTCATGAAATAATTGAAAATTAACAATCACTCTTAAACTAGATGTAAATTGACTGTTCACTGGCAGGCGAGTATTCGAGAGCAGCGGATATATTCTAATCTGTTAATGTGTTATTTTTAAATTTTATTACTTTTAGTTAGGAAGTAAAATATTATATATATTCAACAGCCTTTAAGAGGCCACTGCTGAATATATAGAAAGGAGGTTTTGGCCTATTATACCACGCTGGCCAGACGGATAGGTATAGGGTTTGTGTCAAGTTTTCCTTCTCTGTGCAGAGCAGTTGTCCTGTGTAGTTTGCTTCCTCAGTCGACTCTTACAATGGGATGGATAGGGGTGATGACACTCCATATTTTGAATCCGTGACCACACGGATGTATCATCAATAGACTTTGTCCCCAGCCCAGCTAGCCCAGACGACTGCTGGACATAGGCCTCTTCTTAGAAAGGAGGATTTGGCCTACTACTACTGTGATGTATAAGCACATTTAATTTAACTAAACTAACTAGCATTTTCATTGTCCATAAAAGTTTCGGTAGGTATCTTTGACTTGCATTAATTTGCCATCGAATATCTCTGGTGAGGTAACCTCAACTTTGGTTTTTCTTGGCCACAAAGTTCGGCCTTCGGTTACCTCACCCATTCAGTGGAAACCAACAAATGAATTGTTTAACACAAGTCTTCTGTGAGGGTCTTGTATCACTCTGGTCGATGTCGATCTGGCCCAAATGTGCCAAGAAATTACAGCTTTGATTGTGTATTTTTTTTAAATACAACTCCCGTGAATGTGACTTTACAGACATAGATGAAACGGACACAAAGAACACCAAGACTCAGAACAATAATTTGTGGATCACACAAACTGTGGTCCCATGTGGGGATCGAATCCACAGCACCCAGCGCAGTAGAAAGCGGCAAGGTGACAGCTTAAACCACTACGCCATCCGGGCAGACGATTTGATTGTGCACTTTGATGATGTAGCATCAAGTAGTCAAATCTGATTTGTTTACTTTCAAGAAGTTTAAGTGTCGAAGAAATTTTTATTTCTAAATTTGTAGTAATAATAATTTGCTATTGACGATATATACTCTTCTATTCAACATTGACATCACGTTCATTTGACACCGTACAGTTTATATATTGTCGAGGATTAAGTTTTTCGTATTAAACTATGACTCACAATAAACTTGTTTGAATATTTTGATTGAAAGTGAAAATATGTTTTATTTTTTAATTTATTTTCAGACTTGCTCAACTTACAAAGCTTTTAATGGCATTGGTGATTTTCTTCTCGTATGCCCTACAATTCTACGTGCCAATGGAAATGATTACTAGAACGAGAAAAGGCAGGGAATGCAAGCATGAAAACTTAATCCAAGTCGCAATTCGAACTGTTTTGGTAACAGCCACAGGTTGGTATATATATGGTATATTGTGTTTATTTTATTTTTTTTATGAAAGAAGGAGCAGACGAGCAGACCGGTCAACTGATGGAAAATGACCACCGCCGTCCATAAACGTATATAAACGAGTCACAAACGCGTTGCCGGACTTTAAGGACGGTTCTTTTCTTGAAGGTTTTCAAGTCAAGTTATAGTACCTAATAAACTATAAAATTTTATATAACATAGATACACACATAGACACAATACACAGACACAATAGATAAACAAAAAAATAACCCTTATGGGTTCTGAGTGTCTGTATATTGACAAAACACTGTGATAAACAAAAAGAACAGACTGTGATAAACTATTTATTTCATTTCTAGGTACTAGGGATTAAATGACAGTAAAATTTGGACTGTTTTGAATGTTTCGCTTTATATCTCTTATTCCGATAGTCTGTTTGATAATTATCAAATAATAAAATAATGTCCGGCGATTTTAAGGCATGTAATGTCTGTAACGTGGTCGTTTATATTACTTAACCATTCTGTATGTATATGTCTAGATATTTATAGATAATATTGTATCATGTCGCGGTCCAAAGTTATCTAGACTCAAACTGAGTTTGAGCGCTTTGAGTTCAATAATATAATAAAAATCTAGATCAAAGAAAACAAGATATAAGGATTTTGATATTTCAACCGAATGCTGTATAGATAAACCCTTTTAAAAAAAAAGTTGAACCGACTTCAAACAACACCGACAAAGAGCACTAAAAATTAAAAAATAATTACAAATCTAAGTAAAAACTATAATAAGTACCGTCAATGTAACAAGTAACATTAAAATACCAATAGTCCCTTCTAGTCTGTTTGAAGTCGGTGCCAAGCTCGATGCACAATAAGTAATACTGGTCTATGTCAGCTTTATATTAGCACAATGAAAAATTAAGAATTCAAAATAATTCTTTAAATAATATAATAATTTAAATGAATTATCATCAGTCATCGGTATAAATTGAACCACTTTTAAAAGAAAATAGGAACAAAAATATGTAATAGTATTTTTATATTTTTACAATTATATAAATTATATATATATACTACGTCACAATCAATTATATATACTTACGTCTTTTATCCCAAAACGGGTAGACGGAGGAGTATAAAACGCCATTTGAAAAACTATTATTTCATTCCCACTTACTTAAAAACTGGCTTACCCTCCTTCGGCTGTGTGAGTGTGCGTAGACTGTTTACACGGAATACCAATGTAGTTATTACTTTTGTGCGATACCTACGGGGAATTACATTAACGTTTGACAACTGATTGTATAAAACTTTTTATCTTGCGACAGAAAATACCAAGATTTTCGACTTAGAATTATGGTCTGAATACACTGTTTCAGTAGGTATTTGTTACACGGTCCCATATATTCTGTATATTATATTTCTAAATAAAATTGTTGTATATTCTTAAATCCGAACCTACTATAGAAAAATTATATTTAGAAACTGAACAAAATATATTTTATAATATATGTATATATATTTTACTACATTCACACAACGCCATCTAGTCCCAAATTAAGCAGAGCTTGTACTATGGGTACTAGACAACTGATATAAATACATATATACTTTTTTTTTGTAAATACATACATATTATACATAGAAACACCCAGACCAAATCAAACATTAAATGTTCATGCACACAAATATTTGACTTGAGCGGGAATCAAACCCGCGACCTTTGGAATAGCAGTCCGTTGCACAAACCACTACGCCATCCGGTCGTCAAAAGATGGTGCTCATTATATATTTGCCCGGGGTGAGAATCGAACCCCCGACCTATAGCTTAGCAGTCAAAATCACAAACCACTAGACCAACACGCAAGTTTTAATCACACAATAATGTCTAATACAGTTGCAGTTGCCGCAGCATTCCCGAACTTGGAGCTCGTCATCAGTTTCACTGGAGCGGTCTTCTTTTCCACTCTTGGCCTTCTAATCCCAGTTCTAGTAGACACTGCGTACCATTGGGACAGAGGATTAGGTCCTTGTGGTTATATCTTGTTGAAGAATATTATTATTGGAATTATTTCCATTATAGTTTTGTTTTCGGGTGCTATTGTCTCACTTCTACAAATGATTGAAGAATTTGGAGGTGGCCACGAAAACCAAGAAAGCCTGAACGCTACATTGACGTGAATTTATTTAAATTAAATATAATTTTTCTTCTCCATGCCATCGTTGTTATTATAATTCTCTGTTGTTATTATTACTACACTAATTAAGTGAGGATATAATATAAAACAATTATTATCAAAATAATATTGAAACGTACAAAGACAAATGTAACTAATTTATAATTACGTAGATAAAAATACATTTTGCAGAATAAAAAAGTTATAAAGGTTAGGGCAGACAGCGGGTAGGATAGGATAGCTTCGTGGCGTAACGTCATGTCAACGTCCCGCTCCGTATATTGTAAGTCACGGCTTTAAAAGTATTTATGTGAAATAATTTACAGCAAAGTAAGCATTAGTTTAAGTTTAATTTGCATTTATAGGAAATTGTTAATATTACAATTTTCATATTAGAACATCGAGGTCTATTTTATCGTTATTAGAATTGTTTAAGTTAAATAACAACCAAAATACTTGAAATGGTATAGTTTGATATACGCTACGCATTTGTCTTAATAACTAATGGTACAGGTTGAAAAAGTTCATATCGAAAAAACAAGAACTGGCCGGTTTTTCAACGTCAAGATTTGGGTGTTAGTTTAAAAACAAAAATTTGAAAAAAATCGTGGGGTGGCAAGTTATTAAAAAAAAAATGGAACAAATGCGAAGAACTAGTATATTGAAAAAACGGGGTTTTTTTTTAAATCGAAAAACAAAATATAAAGGGCGAAAAATAGTGATTTTTAGAGATAAAAGCGTTTTCTCATAAACTTTCTTATGAAGTTAACTTCAGAAAGTCTCATTTTATTTGCTTTTTCTCACAAAACAATCTTATATTTTTTGTTTTTCCGTTAAAATTCTTATTCCCTATTTTTTTTTCAATAACTTGTCACGAAATGATTTTTTTCAATTTTTTGTTTTTAAACTAATACTTTTACCCGAATTGTCACGTAGAAAAACCAGCCAGTTCTTTTTTTTTAATATGAAGTGATTTGCGCCGCGTAGCCTGTATGAGTAAGGAATGCCCTTAAAGTATTTTAGATGCTTAAGATTAATTCCATTGATAATAATTTACCTCAGATAACTAAATAAATACAATATTTATAACTTATTATATAAAATAACTGTTTATTTATTGAATATAAATGTCGAAAGAAAATTTTAAATTTTGTAAATATATTAATATTCGGTGAACATGGACTGCTACGTTCATAGAATTGTAAACATGTTTATGTAAAATAAATGTTATTTCTAGTTTAAATTTACAACATAAAAAACACAACGTTGTTTTTTTAATATATACTTTTGTTAAATAAAAATACAGAACCTTATTTTTTGTATTACTTTTATATGTACTCTTTTTTGCCCCCATCTATCGGCATCGCACGGTGAATCCATGGAACGCTAAGAAATAAAAGTCAGTGGTTAGCGACCCTGCTTGCTAAGCCGGAGGTCGTGGGTCCGATTCCCACACAGAACAAATATTGTGTCATGAACATGATCATTTTCTCTGAGCCTAAGTATCTAAAATGTGTATGTATCTAGAAAATACTAGTATGATTATCAGCAATCTCGTCGCCATAGCACCGCCTCTATCTAGTATGGGGTCATACAGCCGTGTGTGAGATGTGTTAAGTTCTTACGTTATTTGAATAGTAAACACATACTTTTCCATAACAGAAAAAGAGATTTGATTGTAAAAACCCCAGCTCTACGACAGCACGACAACGCGCGACCCCTTACTGCGCAACAGACAGTCTCCAAGCTGCAAGAGCTGGGGTTGGAAGCTCTCCCTCATCCGCCATACGCACCAGACCTTGCACCTACCGACTATTACTTTTTCCAAAATTTAGACAACTTTTTAGTGGGTAAAAAATTCAATTCCCGAGAGGCAGTATAAAATGCCTTTGAAGAGTTTGTTGCCTCCCGTCCGGCTGATTTTTACAAGAAAGGCATCAATAAACTGTCAATGCGTTGGCAAAGATGCTTCGATTGTATGGGTGATTACTTCGAATGACAGAAATAAAAAAGTTTGAAAAAATAAGTACTTTCACTGATTGCATACAAAACGGCAATTTCATAGGTAAAGACCTATTAATGCGACTCAAGGCGCCAGAAAGATTTTCACATTGCTCTGTTTTACGGCATGCGTTACACGCTTAGGCAAATATTTAATATTGTATTGGTATTTACTATTATAGACAGTTTGTCAATGTAGACCGATTCAATTTAATTTTGATCGAAGAAACTCCTACAAATTTTGAGTTAGCAATTTGTCTGATTACCCAATTACATTACATATCTGGAAGGTATGTTCAAAGAAGTATGTTCAAAAGAAATTAGATAGTATTCAAATCCAAATCCAGGTCCAAAAATGAAAGGTATTCCTATTTCAAAAGGCTTGAAACAATTTTTTACAAGAGAGCGTAACGGGATGTAAAATAGGTCCTTGTAGAAAGTATTACCTAATGTGTCGTAAAAATATTTTACTGGTTGTATGATGAGATACGAAATGTGAAATAAATACTTGTTGTTCTGCCAATAATTAAGGTTTTTGTGAATGGTCACGGGTTTTTCTTAATAGAATGGGCACTATACTAAGTATTGACTTGTTTATATTTATCCTTTTAAGTGAGCGAGTGAGAAACTATTCAATTAAATGTAGGGACTTTTGGGTTAGCAAAATTGGGCAATGAAACGGCTTTTCGATATAAATGTATCTTACAAAATTTTGAAATATGGTAGTCGTGATGACAAATTTCAAACTAAATCTTATATCTCAAAATGGGAAATGATTTACGTAGCCTTCACCTTTGTACTTTAACCTCGTAAAGTAAAGGCTCAATACTGGTGACATTGTTCTCAGGTCGTGTACCCCAGCTTCAAAGGAAGCCGTTATAGGTATAATATCGAATTTCATCTACTGGATAATTTCATCTACGTCACCTTACGTCACTTTAATATATTGTGTAATAATTTACCGTGTGACAGCTGTGCTTCAGTATATATAGATCAGCTTGACCGGAGTGATACCATGACCATGGCAACCGGTTTTAAGTAATTCTTTTGTAGAGGAATGGGAATGTGATTATGTCTCAACGGTTGATGTTGGAAAGTTGTATATGTTGCTAATCGGCGCGGGAATTCTTCATATCGCGATACAGGATTAGCAATTCTCATTCAGAAGTTACTCCGCAGTTCGGTGTGTCTTCGTTGGATGGCGCTGTAGAATGTTTCTGTTTCTTTAGGAGTCGTCACACTTTTGTTGCTTTACACCGAAAGATTGAAGCTCCTAAGGTTTTAAATTATTTTCCTAAAAGGAAATGAATCAATGAATAAATGAATATTTTAATATTTCACTTTGAAACTTTTACACATAGTTTTTGGTTGCTAAATGATTTTGGACTTTAAGAAGACTTCAGTTCAATTACAATTCTTTGCCATGCTGTTTAATTCAAGAAAAATAGCCAGATTGGTAATAACAAAGTATTATGTGATTTTCTAAAACACACAGCGTTGATGTGAAGAAGACTGTCGTGAATATGCCCTATAACTAATTGTCTATGGTTAAAACTTACCGGTTTGTCTTTGGTCTCTATACTTATCTCTTTCTTTCACCAGTGTGCGTCCTCTTCTTTCAAGTAGGAGGATGCTTCTTACAACTGTCAATTCATAGCGTTTGTGAATTTTGCCGCGTTAACTTAGCAAAATTATTTCAGGGAATAATTAACATAAAATTTGGTTGATTTAACACACAGTGCTTATTATAGTGTTTAGAGAATAACATCACAAGGAATCTGACACTACATGAATCCCCAAGAAAAAGCTTGTGAGGGGGGTGAAGATGTTTCGAGAATTGATGCTTCGGAAGAAGATCAATCTTCGAACGCCTTGCCTGATGATACATCATCCTCTTCATCCTCGGAGGAGGAAGAGGGCATGGCGTCACCCCCACCTAACAAGCGGCGCAAGGTACGTAAGTACGAAAATATTCCACCTAACTCAGACCCACGCGTAGACACTTTGATCCAGCAGGTCGGTTATATTTCACAATATCTTACACAATTAGTACCTCCCACCTGCACGTCAGGTGTTGAACATCAGAACAATACTCTTCCATCTACATCTGCATCGCAATTTCTGAGTAACCCAGCAACTTCCTCCCATTCTTATAAGCTCTCGTTAGGCGAATTGGGCACAGAATTTGATGAGAAGTCCCTTGTTCCGCCAGCTAATAAAGAGCGCTTACAAGAGCTAGCTCATCTCCAAAAATTTGACTCGCCAGCCTGGAAGAGCATTCGATATAAGAAAGCTCTCCAGTCTTGCATTGCAAGCCCAGGCTTTATAGGTTTGAAATTAAATGAAGAGTTATGCCACTTTAACAAGACCAAAGACTATTTAGCTTCAACTGAGCAATTATTAGCAGGTTTATCTAATAATATATTAGAACAAAGATACTTACTTAAGACAGGGTTACAGGACCTTCTTGATTGGGCTTCATCAAATTCAAATAATGTAGATCCAAATAGTTTATTTGAGAAAATGATAAGCACCTTTGGCCCAGGTTCACCCTCTTATAAAAAGTCAGAAACTGCTATGCAGATAGTATGTGGTAAGAGAGCAGAGTGCATTGAGGTGCGTCGAGATCGCATTCTGAAAGAGATTGAAAACCCCAACTTACGTCTTACACTGCAGAACATTCCCCCTAGTCAAGAATATCTGTTTAGCCGAGAGGCCTTGCAACCGGTTATAGCTTCTCTGGGAGGATCTCAAATGTGGCTAAATACTCCGTCTTATGTTAGAGAGAAGAAATCATATAATATAGCACAATCTCAGTACAGGAAACCTCACAAAACTCACAGTAGAGACTATAAAACTCATACCAAGAGTTATAAGTTACAAAATAAGGATTATAAGTCACAGAATAAACAAAACTTTAAATATAAAAGTAGTCAGCCCTTTCGTAAAGGCTATTCAAATACCAACCAAGCCAATAAAAAACCGAGTTGACTACCAAGCCAGAGTGTTCAGGGGGGGTTGCCTAAAAGAGTCTGCTCACCTTTGGAAACAAAGAGGGGCCAACAATTACATTTTACAGGTAATAACTGGAGCCCGCATCCCTTTCTCGAAGAGACCACCCCTACAGTATCCGCACAGCCATGTCTTAAGAAAATTTACCACACGGACCTCAGCAGAGATGACAAACATAATTTGTCAATTAAAAAAGCAAAACATACTAGAACCTCTGCCAGTCATAAATCCAGGTTTTCTTTGTCGCATGTTTCTAGTAAAAAAGTCAGATGGAGGTCTACGCCCCATATTCGATCTCAGAGGTCTCAATTCATTTGTAACAGTCAAACATTTTCAACTGATTTCACAGACAGATGTAACAGAATTTCTGCAGATCAACGATTGGTTAGTGAAAATAGATATCCATCAGGCATATTTTCACTTACCAATTGCGGAGACACACCGACGGTTTCTCAGAGTATTTTACAACAACGAGCTACTTCAGTTAACAGCTCTACCATTTGGCCTGTCATCAGCCCCAAAGATGTTTGCCACAGTTTCAAATTGGATTGCGGAGATCCTGCGGGCACAGGGTGTCCGGATACTTGTGTATTTGGACGATTATCTGCTTGTCAATCAGGATCGACAGATGCTAGTTTCTCAGGTTGCGGAAACGCTGAGAACATTGGAAACTTTGGGATGGCATCTCAATTACGTGAAGTCAGTTCTAGAACCGTCTCAAAAGCTAGATTATCTAGGCCTGATATGGGATACACAACAGAACAAAATAATGCTCCCTCAAAAAAAGATAACAAAAATAAAATTATTAATTTCCAAAATGGTAACCCAGGGCAACAGTTCTTTAAAAGAACTGCAGAGTTTATTAGGTTTGCTCAACTTTGCAAACTACACTGTACCCAGGGGCCGACTACATTGCCGCAGGTTACAACTTTTTCTAAAACAATTCCACCAGGGAAGGCCAAGAGAAAGAAAAGAAATTCCATTACTTGTTCAACAGGACCTAAGATGGTGGATAGAGACTGTGGAGCACAGCTCACTGCCAATAATAAAACAGAGAGTGACTCATTTCTTGACTACAGATGCAGCAGATACAGGGTGGGGAGCTCAATTAAACAACAATTTCTTATCAGGGAAATGGGCCCCATTTCAGAGACCTTGGCACTCAAACATAAAAGAGATGTATGCAGTATTTGCTGCAATCAACAGTCAGCGGATGACTCTAGTAAATGCACACATTTTGATACAGTCCGACAACAGAACTCTCGTTGCTTATCTCAGGAACGAGGGGGGGACTCGCTCCATAGCACTACTAAAACTGACAACAAGGCTTCTAGAACTGACAGCACAGTTAAACATAACTCTCTCAGCCACCTATCTCCCGGGGAGATTAAACCTAATTGCGGATCGTCTGTCGAGAGGTCGCAAAGTACCAGAGTGGCATCTTCTGCCCCAAGCCACGGAGGCGATATTCAAAAGGTGGGGCGTCCCCGACGTCGATCTGTTCGCGTCAAAAGAGTCAGCGGTCGTCGCAGATTACGTAACTTTAGATTCGAGAGATGGTTCTGCTATCTTTTGCGACGCTTTCAGTCGACAATGGGACTTTCGACTGGGCTGGGCATTTCCCCCACCCAGCTTAATACCACGGGTATTAGCTCACTTAAACAATGCCAGGGGAATGTACATCCTGGTAGTTCCACAGTGGACCAAGTGCTTCTGGCTACCGGACGTGCAAGCACGAGCCAAAGTAGAGCCACTGCAGATAGAGAACCTGCGGAAGGTATTAGTGGATCTAACCACAGGCAGTCACCCTCCACAGGTGGACAAGTTGTCTCTTCTAGCCTGGAAAATTGGGGGTGGGCTGACAAGGTAGTCCATTGGTCCAGGGCTGAACAAGATTTATTAAAAAGTAGTTGGCGGCCTTCTACTTTAATAACATATAATGCCCCATTAAAAAGGTGGTTATCATGGTGTAACGATCACCAAGTAAATCCTAAGTCACCAGAGGGTACAGAGGTTGCTAGATTTTTAGCTAAATTATTTTTAGAAGATAGATTAGCTTATAAAACCATTCTTTTACATAAGTCAGCAGTTGCCACATATTGTGCCCCTTCAGGCACAGACATTTCCAAAAATTTCTTTGTACACCAGGTCTTAAAAGCCATTTCCCTTGCTAGACCTATCACCCAAAAGTTACCAATTTGGGATACAACAATTTTATTTGATTGGCTAAAGACCTCTACCAACACAGGTTCATTATTTGAGACTGCTAGAAGGACCGCATTGATACTCTTATTGGCCTCAGGCCGTAGAATACATGACCTAACATTACTAGATATCAGTCCACAAAATATAATCCACAATGACAATGAGATTAGTCTATGGCCTAAATTTGGGTCTAAAACTGATTCTAGTACCCACAGACAGTCAGGTTGGTTGTTGCGGAGACATCCAATACCTCAAGTTTGCCCTGTTGGGCACATTAAGAACCTCATAGAGATGTCTAAGAGTCGAAGAGAGATGAATACTAATGTCACAAGTCTTTTCCTATCATTGTCAGGGCAGTTGAAACCAGCTTCTAGAACTATGATTGCAGGTTGGATCCGTACAATTTTTAGGGATGTAAAGATCAATGCTCCACCAGGTAGCATCAGGTCCGCTGTAGCCTCAAAAAGTTGGCTAGAAAATAGACCTATTCAGGAAATATTAGACAGAGGTAACTGGAAAAGAATGGAAACTTTCAAGAAGTTCTACTGTCTACCAGTTCTTAGGACAGAGGACACAAACAACGCTGACCTATTATGTGCCAATTTTTCTAATATTTAATTAACTTTTTATTCCTTTAAGTTAATTTTAATCTTTGTTTAAATTAAAGTTCCTTATTATTTTCCACTGGATCTCATTATATTAATAATTTTATATTGACTTAATTTATTTGTTTCTTGACTTGATGAACATATATAGTAAGAAGAATATACAGCTTAGTAGAAATAATAATCTCATCATATTAATAATTTTATATTGACTTAATTTATTTGTTTCCTGACTTGATGTACATATATAGTAAGAATAAAATCGAGCTTAGTAGAGATAATAAGCTAATTAAGTTTTTTAAGTTTAAAATTGTTATTGCAAAATAGAATTGATTTACTTTTTAAACAGTGTTATGATTTATACTCATCATAGCGTTTGTGCTTCCACCAGCAGATAACAAACAAGTCTTCACATCAACGCTGTGTGTTTTAGAAAATCACATAATATAACTGTTTTGCATTCCAACAAAACAGGTATTATGTGTTGAATAAAACACACAGCGTTGCAGCAATGCTCTTGCTGGTGATTTGAAGACTCTATGAATTGACAGTTGTAAGAAGCATCCTCCTACTTGAAAGAAGAGGACGCACACTGGTGAAAGAAAGAGATAAGTATAGAGACCAAAGACAAACCGGTAAGTTTTAACCATAGACAATTAGTTATAGGGCATATTCACGACAGTCTTCTTCACATCAACGCTGTGTGTTTTATTCAACACATAATACCTGTTTTGTTGGAATGCAAAACAGTTATATTATAAAATATAATAATAAGCAATAATTATAATATAATAATATATTAATATTATTAATAAACTAAGCAGAGCTTGTACTATGGGTACTAGACAACTGATATAAATACATATATACTTTTTTTTTGTAAATACATACATATTATACATAGAAACACCCAGACCAAATCAAACATCAAATGTTCATGCACCCAAATGTTAGACTTGAGCGGGAATCGAACCCGCGACATTTGGAATAGCAGTCCGTTACACAAACCACTACGCCATCCAGTCGTCTAATTACTGAACTGCCAGTCAACAGATGATAAAAGAAAGACCAAGCCTTAAATGAATTGTCCCATTTCTTTCAGTAATCATAATAATTTTGATTCACCCCTAAAAGAAAAGAAGTGGAAAAGTGCGAGTCGGACTCGCCCACCGAGGGTTCCGTACAAATTTGTAGGTACTTTTTTCGTTCTTTATCGTAAATCGAAAACTATACATCTTAAAAAAAATTAATTCAATTCAGAATTTGGACCGCCATTCCTTGCATAAAAACGATGTTTTTTATGATTTAATTACAAATGTTTCCAGACTTTTTATTACACTTGTAGTATAAGACAGTATTACTTGCCAAATTTCATAATTCTAGGTCAACGGGAAGTACGCTATGAATTTTGATTCCCTCGAGAGTATCGAAATATGCATTTTTTCAAGACATAAACGGCCGTATATTTTTATGTTAACTTAGGAGTTTGTTTATTTTACAGCTTCAAAGTACCATAGACCTGAGTATATGGTTTTAATTTCAACTCGATACCTCCACGCGATCCTAAAATAAAGGGTCTTGACAGACAGACAGACGGACGGACGGACAACATAGTGATCCTATAAGGGTTCCGTTTTTTTCCTTTTGAAGTACGGAACCCTAAAAAGACCGTCTGGATCAGTCTGACCCGTCGGCAGTACAAGCGACGCAGAATGTTTTCGATGCGTTTACATAAACTAATATTCAATATATTGAGATCTGGCAGAAAAATATCAGTGTATTGGTTGAGGGAATTTGATTCTTGTTTTGAAAATTGCGGATTTGAATATTAAATGAAATAGCAGATTACCAGATGCCTGCAAAAAGTAAATATTATAGTTATAATGAATTTTTATGATGATATTTTTTACTGTTTATAAGAGACAACTCCCGCATTAGGAATATATCCAGTATCGCGGGAGACAAATATATACGAAACGGACACAAAGAACACCCAGACTCAGAACAACCAAGAAAGAAAGAAAACTGCTGTTAAGCACCATGTGTGTTTGAGTTGCAGGGGTCACCTGATGATAGGTACCATAAAATTAACTTTCATTTTCGTTCACTTTCATTTTATTTTATCAATTGAAATTCCAAAAATTTTTTGGTTTTAGTAAAGAAAGTTGT